CTCTTGAAGTTTTTCTTTCACTACTGTCAATATCTTAGCGAGGAGTAAGGAAAGAGGTTTGGTTGAACATTTACTGGAACCCGCAATGTATCTTTGTTTGTAAGGATTCTTACGAAGTTTCGGAATCCAATTATTATAAGGTAGTTCAAATTCATTTTGGCTCTGTGGAATAATTAAAATATTCAAAACTGATATGGTTCGGAAAAATTTATTCCTTAGAAAGCGAAGTATGAGTATAAGTAGGATTACCACTTGTAGTATTAAATCCAAGTTCTTCTAGAATACAATTTATATAATGAGCCTTACAAACGAAGACAATGTTGTTACCTGCTTTGTCGGCAGGGACCAGTACGTAATAATCATGTAATCTATCTAATTCTTTTTGCACTCTGGTTTATTGAACACAGAAGGATAGATGGTTTTCAAACTGCCCCTCAATCTTTTGATACATGACATTAACAAGGATCTGATACACTTAATCCATTCTGACAAGGTCTCAACGTCTTCTTTTTCATATCTGGCCCATCGTCTGGCGTAATTTTCAACAGAATCTATAATATTAATGAAATTCTGACGCCAGTTGAAGGATCGGGGTTCCCTATATATAGGACCTTTAAAAATAGGGGATCTAAGGTCCTCATTATTAACTATATTTACGTCACCTGTAATAACGTGTCCAGCAGGACTATAGTTATAGGGTGAAGAAGAACATGAACACGATGGAGGATTATGTTTCAGATGTTCTGTATCCAAGCCATGTAAATTTTTTTTTTGTAATTGAAAAGTTTGGAAGCAATGGTCGATGTGTATTTGTAGGAAATACAAGGTGTAGTCTTTAACTTAAAATATGGTGGAATACAAGACTGGACAATTTGTGATTAAGAATATTATTTATATTAACCGCGTCAATTCCTTTATTGGCATATTGAAGTTTAAGGAAAAGACGGATTGTTTTAGCTGTATTTTCTTCCGCAAAGCGTGCGGGTTTAAAAAGCCTATGATATGCAATATCCATAATCACAGATCCGAGTCTATATTCTGGTGTCGAGGAATCAAAAATTGGATTTCTCGTGCATCTATATTTGAATCTGAACGCTAAGGGAGGCCTAATATGCACGTAAATCTTGTGCGACTGTCTTTGTGTTCAAATGACATCACTGAGCGGGGGCTATTGAAATTGACATGGCATGGGAGACCTTTTGTAATTCATATCTATAAGTGTACGTTTTTAAAATTTAGATTTGCAGTTTTATTTCACAATGAAATGAAAATATAAGGAATCAGTGTAAAATTAGTAAAGTATGCTTGAGACATCAATGATAGTTGGAAACGTGGAAAACGTTTTAGCCTTTTTTTTTTACTATCAATACATGTAACATAATTATATGATTATTAGACTCTGCATGCCAGTGGACACAAAAGTGTCTAATAACGTGACCCCCAACTTCATTAAGGAAGTGTCCACGCCATGATTATCTAAATCCTAATTTACTTTTGAAAATAAGGAGTGTTACACACCAAGTCTTTATTCAAACCAATTTTTTTTATACTTAACAGAATAATAGAACAGTGAAGCTATAATTAACATGATACAAAATACGAAATGTATTCTGAAAGAATCTAACAAATTAGTGGTACGTGTGAAACATATAAATATGTCTTACATAAAATACAGCGTAAATATTGTAACGCATTACATAATTCATATAATTATCATCATTAAAATACATAGGTGAAGATACCACGCAGAGATAAATGTCATAAAAGTCGAATCTTGAACAAAAACAAAAACAAGAACGTCTGGAAACACTAATGGTGTAACATGTATCTAATGAATGTAAAGCAAAATTAATGTGCATAATCTTTGTGAAAGTGAGTAAAAGGTATTCATACAAAGATCCATTTGATATACTTCGAACAGACGTTCCTAGTCATTAGAAGACTGAAGGAGAAAATATATAATTATACATTATACCTTTTTGATTTTTGCTTTCAGATGATTTGTACGTCTCTGGTAAGATATTTTCACTCATATCATTTTTCACCCACCACATGCCGAAGAAGTAATGTGCAATTAGACCTGTCTGCACTCACGTCGAAGGAGCCGCAAGCCGCCCTGCCATGACATGAATTTTTTTCCCGAAATGTCCTCACCCTTAACTCCAAATCTCCCGAGTGTTTAGTTGAAGGAACAGTTGTTACTTTCATTAACTAAGGGTTAATTTTAAGCAACGCGGGTGCTAACTCACCACATTCCCTCTATGAAGCAAACACTCTCACAGTGCTGAAATACAGTTTACGTGACACACATACTGTGAAATCACAACCTTTGTTGGGGATTTATTTTCGTTGTTTTCGAGGTATGAAGAGACCCAAGAATTCATTTCCACCACGAAATGTAAAATGTTACATACATAACTACTCAACCTTTCTTTATCCACGAAATCAAATCCTCACGAACCAAGAGTTTTGAACCACGAAAATTTGCCCCCACGAAAATATGTGATTCTACAGTAGCTGAATATAGTACAAGTACATGTAAAGATACTCTGATGAGACTCATTTAATATTTGTCTGTAAATGATGCTCTAGCTTATAAGAATCTGAATCATATTAAGGGCGTTCGATCCTGAACGGATTTTGGTCCTGTCCTTTATTTAAAAAATTCTGCATCACATTTAAGTTCTAAAATTAAATCTGGATTCTACAATGCAAATTGAACAATTGAACTATATTCAATGTTAAAAACTGCGATTAAATTCCATTCAAGTAGAATTAAGCTAGGAACTATATTTTGTGGCGGAATGTTTTTAGAAGAAAATGATCAGTTTTTTCCTTTTTGAACTATAACAGTACTGTTAATTCTAGATTTCTATTTTTCCATGCTGGTTGCACACAAAGCTGTTTTTGCAGTGAAATGTGTTATGCTGGTTTTAAAATATCTATTAAGTTATTTCTTATGAATTCATTCAACAAAGTGTGACATATATAGTAAATATATTCTGAAAATCCGGGAAAAAATGAGCCAATTTTAACATAAAATTTTCACTTTTTAGTAATATCTTAAAATTTACATCATATACCCCCAATTTTGATGTTCTTCTCTAAATATTTAAGATAACTTTGACTTATTTACTGAAATTCAGAAAAAGTTTAAGACTTTAAAATAATTTTCTTGCTTATTAAATTTTCAATGCCAGAAAAATCACATTTTATTAGTGCAGAAAGGTCAATTAATTGGTAATGCGAAGCAATTTGAAACTTTTTCTTAGTCACAATTTTAAAGTGTCTTTTTTTAAATACGATTAGAGTTCATTTTGTTTCATGTTTTAATTCGATAAAAATATTGGAGGGAAAACGTCGAAGATGTTATGTTTAAATAAGACACCAATTTCAGTTAAAAAGGTCATATTTAAGATAATGTAGAACCAAAAAAAAGGATATTGACCCCCATTTTTTGATTTGAATTTGAATTAAGCTACGTATGTAGAAACTAAAAATATACTAGGCAAAAAAGTTTAGGACTATAAATATCAGGATCGAACGTCGTTAAATTCTTGAGCTCATCCTTTTCTCATGTAGAAGTTTATGGATAAACTCTGCTTCATATGAATACAAAAAAAAAACCCAGAGGCACTGTGAGCAATGAGCTAACTAAATGATACCCTCTGCCTCCCATATGAATATAATGGCAGAGTCCATGTTTTGCCATGGGAAACCCAAAATATATGTCGGATCAAAAAGTAAAATAGGAGGTCACAATGGCGATATGAAATAAAGATTCTGTGAAAGCTTCATCAAATTTCATTCAGTGGTATGAGAGGAGTTGCGAATAAGAGGTATGAACCCCAAAGCGTAACAGACGGTCGGACATCCCGATTTCTATATACCCTCCAACTTTTCAAGCGTGTATAAAATTCAAGAATCAAGATGGATATACAAATTGCGAAAAAGCTATGCAATAGGTTCCAAAAGGACGTTCAGTAGATTGTTGATCCAAGACCTGATATTCTTAACAGTGCATTGGAATTCATATTTGTATATTTCCTAAAGTGCCAAAAAGATGTATTTGCCTACAAACCGCGACGCACTTTTGTGTCAGTCTCATTTTGATCAGACAATGTCAGTGCTCTTCTTCTTAATAGATGAGTCGATCATATTGTACCGCGTTTGTTCATTGACGTTAGTTATGAAGGCAAATTGATATGACAATTTGACAAAAGTATTCCATTTTTGCTGTTATATTCTTTTATGTTGTCTGTAGCGCTCACTCGGTGATGGATTGATTGATTGTTTGTATATTGTTTAATGTCCCTGTCGATAATTTTTCCTTCATATGGAGACATTCAGTGATTGAAATATTGGGGATTTAAACCTGCAAAGAAAAATATAACATTTGTTCCTTCGCTTGAAACTTTGAAGTGAAAGTTTCGAATATTTCTGAATAGACCTTAAAAATGACATTAAAAAATGGAAGTCTTATGTCACGGTATGCGTTGCACGATAAAGATCGAGCTGATTCTTCTTGCTTTTAAGTGCCAAGAATAGATCTAACTTTTAAGCCCTTCGATGTATATGGTGCCTTCTCTCTCTCTCTCTCTCCCCTTCTCTCTCTCTCTCTCTCTCTCTCTCTCTCTCTCTCTCTCTCTCTCTATATATATATATATTTAAAATCGAATAGAACATAAAACAAATCATCGTCCAATCAAAACTTTAATTTATATCGCTATATTCTTTAACAATAATTAATTCTTATTTAGTCACTACACTACAGATCAGTGATTACGGAATGTTTTATCTACTTTATCAATACCTTGGGTTCACAGCGGAACAGGGTATTTTTTCTTCTCATAGGCACCTGATATCACCTCTGGAATTTCCGTAAGTCTGTGTTTATACCTTGTACACCGAACGGTTTTGTTTGTAGCTTTTATGAGGTCGATCGTTGTTCGTTATTATTTTTCATCTTTTTCAGCAATATTCTCCCGAGAAGTACGTACATGTGTAGAGTTGCAAGTCTGATTTTCTTTAAGCTGATATTGTTGTAAGTATTGCAGGTATGGACACTACACTTGTAAGATGACATGCAGTCATTGACCTATTTATCCATAAAAATAGAGATACTGAGAGCACGGAGCTCACTAAATGATATCCGATACATGTATGATGACAAAGGCAAAGTTCATGTTTTGCTTTGGGAGACCCAAATTAAATGTCAGATTAAAAAGTATAAAATAGATGCACAATGGCATTATATATAGTAAGAAATCTGTGAAAGTGTCATTCAATTTTATTCAGTGGTACATGTATAGGAGGATTGCGGAAAAGAGAAGGGTACTTTTCAGTATTATTGAAAGAATGGCAGTGTCCATGTTTTGCTTTGGGAAACATAAGATTTGTACCCGATCAAAAAGTAAATTAAGAGGTAGGTTCACAATGGTGCATTCTGTAAAAAGTCTCATTTAATTTCATTCAGTGGTTTAAAAGGCGTTACCGAGAAGAAATGGGTACCCCAAAGCATAACAGACAGACAGACAGACGTACAGGCGGAAGGACGGACATGCCGATCACTATATTGCCTCCAATTTTTCAAGTGCAGGGTTTGATGAATGACACATTTAAGCAAAACAAAATGTATGTTTTGAAATTTAAATTTTTCCTAATTTCCAATATCCCTTGATCCGCTAGACAACTAAATTTGGTTTGATATACTAGTATCATCAAGTATATTATGTATAATTGTATTGATTTCATATGATTTTAATTTAACAAATGAAAAACCTATTACCCAAGCAATGTCATACATGTTGAACGAATTAAAATCTATATATTTCTGTTTATATATCGACTTTTGCCATCCAATGAAAATTATCGGATTACTTTTTTTGAGAAGTTGTTATTTGAAGCAAACAAACATCTTAATATGCGATTTATAATTAGTGTCAAACATTCAGTCCCTCCTCTTTGATGGGCGTGACCTAAGCAGTTCTTTTATATAAGATCTATGATGCCAAAGACCTAAGCATACTTGCAGTTACATCTAAACATGCGAAGCTCAAGCTTATTTTGGATTGTAAGTCTCAGCTGCCTATTAATTGCCTTAGGTGAGTATAAAATGTAGATAGTGGTGGGAAAAAAATAATTTCTTGATAAAATTTTGATTTGAAGAAGAATTATGATTAAGTACATTTATGGAAACATCTCTTAGTGTTTTATCATTTAAATTTATGCTATTTCGTTTTGAATTCGGTCTCTTTGACAAGTAGAATCAATATTTGAGACCTTTTGAACAATATTCCCTGACACATATACGTCAACTCTTGAAGAAACCATCGTATAAACCAATTTCCCGATATCTATTATGACACATAAGTAATTTGATCTTAATCGATACCCGTGTTAGTGAGATAATGATTACGAGGTATAATCCTAGGAGATTCTTCTTAGATTTCAAATTAATCATTTCTTTTAGTTTTAAATTAACCATTTATTATCTCAGAATTATTTATAGGGATGGTCATGATATCTGCAAAGAAGCCGTGTTCATTTTTACCTTTTTCAAAAAAATATGCAATATATGTGTTTTGCAACAAAAAACGCTTTTCTATGACTTAGGAAATATTCTCTTTTAATTAAAACACATATCCGTAACATTTTATTCAATTTTTAATTGTTTTTCACACATTTTTGTTTTAATTATGGCAGATCCTATGATTTGCTGTACTTGTTTTTTTTCTTTCATCAGATGTTTTTCATTTGGGAAGAAACAGTGAAAGGTTGAATCTGGCAAATTTTGTTGGTGTGACAAAACATTATCTTTCTGTTTAAGGCCTGTGGGTTTGGACGATAAAGAAATTTGATGTAGTGAGTTCTCCTTTCATTTTTTTGCAAAAAATTGTTTTCTAGACTCCTCCAGAAATTGAACTTCCTCCCCGAATATGAATTTGAACAACAAGACCGCTAATATTTAAGAAAATAGCATATAAAAACTGTTTTATGCTCTTGCAATTCTTTGCTCTTCTTAGTCAAAATGGATTCAGGTTTTACTATCTGTTAGAATTTCAGACCAACGTGGATAGGTACATTTTTTGATTTTTTAAAATAATTGTTAATTGATATTCCTACACGCTATCGTTTTCACTCATTTTTTCAAAATATAAGGTGATCTTTGAGCATTAAACTGTTTTACTATAAAATGTTTCTTTAAAACAGTGTGAACTATCCCCAAAATGATTTTTATCAATTTTGCTATGTGTCTTAAAGCCAATCAAACATAATCAGTTTTAATTTGTTGAAATTTCGCAAATTTACATCGGTTGTTGTAAGTCATTGTTGCCAAGGACGGTACCCAATTATGATGCCCATTATATAATTTTTGTTTATTGAAATCTACTTGTTCACCTGTCTATAAAACAGGCATTGGTTGCTGTAAATTTCACATATTTCAGTTAATATATTTTTGGGATATTAACAAGTTTTACAGCTGCTTTAATGAAGAGTTTAATTTTACTCTACACCATTCATTTTTAATGCAGTGTCTCGAATAGCCCTTATTTTCCAGATTCCCACAATGCAATAATGCGATGAAAAGTGGTCACACAAACTGTTATCAATTCATTAAAGATTTAATAATGAGAGAAAGTCAAGATTTATGTCATATGACTACTATGTTGTATGTCATCGAGCTAATGACATTATTTATTGAACGTCCCTCCTATGCATTGTGTGTTTTGCAACATTCTAAAGGAAAACACCGCCTACATTTTAAATTGTTTCAAGTTTTAATTTAGCGGTTACGTGACATCAACTCCATTTAAGAACAGTGAGTTGAATAATAGGAAGAGACAGATTCATTATCTAAACAAAACTGAAAGTCTTAGTATTCTGTTTGGGAAGAAAAAGAAATATTTCCCGGCTCATTGATCTAATATGTATCATATGCATGATATCTCTGTTTCAGTGTAATCTCAGTGTAATGTGTTCTTTAATTCTCTGATAATACATAAACTTTTTTAAATAATGATGTTTCTGTCAATTTTACAACACAATCGATCAAGAGAAAAAGTTCAGGAAAAAGTTGATATTTAGATATTGTCTACAGTAAAGATACCTTGATTTACTGTCGTAAACACTTTCGAAAATGTTGATATTTCGAGTCTCTAATAATAAAAAATAATTATAATCTGTAATTGACTAAAAGTAAAATGTAGTTAACTAGAATAGTTTACTGCAGCAATATTTGTCAGAGTAAAAAAAATTGGATTTTTTAAAATTGAATTTTAAAGGGAAAAAACAGTAGTATCTTGTTACATGTATATTTACCAGACAATAATTTTCTTCAGGATCACTCACAGAGGCGTGTCCAAGGCAAAAACCTTGTCCCCGAAGATGCCCATTCAGGTACAAGAAAGACGCAAATGGATGCAGAACTTGTGAATGTAAGTATATCGAGAAGGCAATGTAGACTAGGCTGATTGATTATAAAGTTTTAAAAAGGGAAATCTTTAAGTAAAATATTTACATGTACTGTACTATGTAACATACAGTGTATTACATTTGGTGACGTGGTCATTACCGCTATGTACAAGAAATTGCTAAATCTAAAAGGATACTGTTACCTCCACATTGCCTCTTTGGTTAGCCAGTGGCTTATGTATTACATATTGATTAAAAGTACAACCTTTACATGCATAAGACCTAGCTATTTCCCACGTTTGCCATGAGAAGTGAAAGAAGAAATTTGAGCAGAATGCGTTTTTTTTTCTTAAAGATCCCAGAATCTACTTTACGTCATAAAATCATTTTTAAAAGTTTTAAAACCCCTGGCAGATTTTTTATGGCTGAAAACAGAAAGTAAGTAAAGCTTTGAAGGCCATTTGCTTGACATACTGATGTCTAGAAATCTCACCATGTTCATATTTCGCTTTCAGTTCTTTTTTTTGTGTCTCGTATCATAATTATATTGAATAAAACACATATTCACTGCCTTTGCAAACAGATTATAATATGCAGCGTAATGAGTTGTACTTTTCAAATGCCTTATTGATAAAATGTAGCGGTAATTATCACCCGCACGAAGATGAGTAGCACTAATGAGATGATTTTTTGCAATGTAGCGGTATAATAATATTGGTCTCCTAAATAATATAATTAATCATTGATTTTATTTAATTATGATTGTTATAGGTTGCCCTGTTTTGCGATGTCCTTTCTGCTGGCGAGGATATATAATTGGAAAAGAAGAAAACCAGTGTATGTCATGTCATTGTAAATGGGGACTCTGAAAAATCGGCATTCATCGACTCATCAACGTTGTTTCGTTTTTCTGAGAAATTTCGGTTTATGACTCATGATCTTTTTATTTAATTTGTTTTCCTTTTTAATGTCGTTACTATACATTTTACAATGACTGTTTGCAAAGTTAATGTATAATTTATATAAAATTAACATGGAACAGATCTTCATTTTAGAAAAAAATATACAAAGCATTTATTTTATTATAAAAAAATACCAAGAAACAAATTGAATGTTTAGAAAAATGAAATGATTCTGTTATATATCAATAAATTTTAAGACATTTCTAGACATGGTTGATTCTTGTGGAAACTAAACTTTAAAAAATTCCAATAATGGAATTAATGCACATCAAAGAAAATAACTCTAGACTATCTTTCAAATATGACCAAAGAAAAGATTATAGTAAAAAAAGTCTTTTTTGAAGGTCTTTTTACAAACTAAGCATAAACAGATATAATAGAGTTTAATTAGACCTCAAAATATAAGATATTAGATCAGGTTCAAGAACAGTTTACAACATCAAAAATCTTTTAAAACAAGAGGAGACCAAACACGTAGTTCTTAAACATCAGAGGTGGTTTCAGGTGATATGTATGAGTGAGCATCCCTATCGAACGGTCATACCCTTCGTTCGGTTCTTGTCAAGATCTGGAAATAACAGATAAGTCGGTGGACAATTCAGGTTTTAAGTAATGATCTAACAATATCAGTATTTAACCTATTAATAGAATGCATTCGCTGAAAGGTCATGATTCGACCAAGGAACTTACGATTGACGATTGAAATGTTAAATTTATCAGGTTTATCATAAGTATAAAGCTTTGCCGATCGGCTACCATTAATGGCCTTTTCTTGAAAAAATATCTAAATATTAAATACATGTGTCAGAGTCAGACTCTGTGGTATCTTGAATTTCAAGCTCATTGAGCGCTTCGACATATTTAAAAAAATATTTTTGATTAATAACATGTCGTCGATATATATAAATGTTGAGTTTAAGGTGAAAAATCCCTTTGTTCCAAATTCCACTTTTTTTTTTTTTTTTTTTTTTTTATACAATTCCAAACATTGATTTTCATCAACAACAATACAATGAAGCGCATTGAAGTGGTAAAATTTTCCGTTCGAATGGAAGGTTTTGAGCTATCTTTAGAACGTTTATTGTCATCTTATGACACGCCCTTTTCTTTAGAAATGGATAAAATTGTCAATTTGTTTATTCGAATACCTGTAGAGCAGGTTTTCCATAAATATAATAGCCAATGAAATTGTCGGTCTAAATAAACACCGAGTAAACACGTGTTCGACCGAAACATGTGTTGTGGTAACTTCAATGGACATGATAAGTTCAAAAATATGTATATATGCGTTGCAATTTGAGTTTTACAGAAGCAAGGAGTCTCTAACTCTCTCTTCTAATTTTTTTAAAGCTCTATTTTACAGTGTAACTCATTTTGCTTGTCGCGAAGATTGGGGTGTCCTAAAACATTACGACGAATATTTTTTTCTGATAAAAAATATGGGCGTGTCATATATATAAATGTTGTAACTGACGTTCAAAACATGACTCAGAACGTTTCGTCCACACGGAAATTTTTACCACTTCAATGCGCTTCATTGTAACATTAGATTCGAATGGAAAACGGTTTGAAGTATGAAGCGTTGCTTACTTTTTCAGAAATGAATGATATGTCATGTCATGATGTGAAGAAAATTTGATATGGTAAATAGAAAGATCAAATAATTTTTATCTCAAAATAAAATTAGAAATATGAGGTATATATGAAAATAATATTTACCATTATACCTATCTAATTCTCATCAGAAAACACACTGAAGCATTGGAATAAACTCTGCTTCATATGAATACAATAATGGGTCTACCAATAACGGGGTGCAATTGCTATCAATGAGGATTCCAAGGGATTTTTGAAGACCTGATATTGTCAAGCAGAAACCCAAGCTTCTTTTTAATAAGAACTTCAGAGTACGTGCTCCTTGTTATGATCAGGAAAACAGAAAAATCGGTACAAAATTCAGTATGGATATAATTGTCTAACAATAAGTATGAAAAATATCAGCATTCGACCAGATAATTGGATTGGCTATATTTACTGACAAATTTAAGTCTTTGTATAAACCGCAGAATCTGTATATGAAAAAAAAAAATTAAATACTATATATTTTACCACACTTTTCTGCCTTATCACTTCATCATAAAAATCGTTTAGAATATCCACGATTATTCCTGCAATAAAATAAACCCGTAAATAATCGAAAGCGGAGTGACGTGTTTTGCCCCGACTCTCTTTCAAATAAAGTCACTTTTCTACATTATATAGATTTATTGACTGGGTTCAAACACAACATGCGTAGTACTGGACTCAAGAACCAAACTATTTGCCAGGGGTTATCAGTTTGGTTCCGAAAACACATTAAAACACTTGACAGAAACGGTTTATGTTAATAATTTTTTAATAATGTGAACAAGTTACAAACAATAAAGAAGTATAACTAATTGACAAAATAATCTGATAAGCCAGTATAAACATTTGAAAAGTATTGGCAGAAATATACCATCAGAAGTTTGACCACACAGTTATAATTTATTGCATATATTTACACGCATTATGCTATAAAAATTTACAGGAAAGACTATTTTAGTTAACAATTGAAATTAAATACTTTTTGCATATCGGTTGGCCGCAAGACGTTTAATTGATTAATAGTTTAATAGAATATCAAAGTTTTCCAATTTTTTTTTCAATTAAAAAATATTCATGTACAATTTCAAAAGCTTTTATCATAATGGTGATTACTCTTTATAGGGTTCGGATCAGCTTTAAACCTCTTTTAATTGAACTAAATTAAAGCAATACAAGAAATGACATAATGTAAAATGGTGACAATCTTTGTGATCAAGATCTGAAAATAAACGTGGTATAACAAGTCGAAAAGGCTAACTCACATGATCTAGTAAAGGCATTTTGAAATGCTTAGAACCTATCTGTGAAAATTTACGTGCAATGTGTTCATGTCCTAATGAAGTGTTTAGCGTAATTTATTTGACATTGGTAGGGATGGACCATAATCTACAGTTAAAGTATACAGAAAATGAAAATAATTAGGTGGAGAATATATAGGACTCCGGTAAATTAAAAATTCTTAATAGGTTTATGTGCGAAATATGCTATACATTGTGTTAATGTCCTAATGATCGTGTTTGGCGATCTATTTGTATTAACATTACATAAAGTTAGAACACGCGCACATGTACGTGTATCATAGCCTTGTATAATTACCATAAGTAACAAGCAAAATTCAAAGAGATGTTGTTCCCTGCTTTTCGTTTTTTAATTGATTGTGGTGCAGATGGGTATCAATGCTCCACAGTGAGAAGAAACTCTGATCTTTATGGTATATGTAGTTTACTAATTAAATAAGTCATACCATGGTAACACGTTGTCCAGTTCAGGTAAAAAATTACACCCTTTCACCTCGTACATGTAAGTCGGAACTTCCTGTTTGAATAAAAATTTCTTGAAGAAACATTAAAAATCAGACAAGTCAGATAATATTGTCGACTTGTCAGATGTGGTGTCTTTTCAGAAATTATTGTTAGACACTTTGCATGGGAGTATTAATGTTCGTAGGTGACCAATGTTTGTGAATTTCGTAGGCCACCCTCAACCACGCAAAATTATGTTGTAAATATATATATTCATTTATTAAACCGTATCAAATAATCTACAAAATAACGTCCCATCAAATAACCTACGAAAAAACGTCCCTGCAAAGAAAGTAAAAATTAGGATTGCCGGCGAACATTGATTCCCACGATTTCACAGTATTATGACGTCATCTTGTCTAATATTTATTGACCTGTAAAAAGAATATCTTCCTTTGTAAGGTAAGCATGTTTATTTGTTGACAATTATGCAGGATTATTAGATATAATGCAGTTGTAAATAACGTCGACTGGGTAAAGAAGAGCATTGAAGGTTATTGTAAAATGTATGCTGATCATGAAAAAAATTTCACTAAAGTTACTTTTGTTTCCAGATGTCAAGCTGCAAATGCTTGCACAATTTTCATTAGCAATCATGATATCCACATATGAAAACGGTGGCATTGATACATATAGGGTTTAGGTTTTAGCTGGTAACGGTAGAAATGTAATTCCTAATCCTTGATTAGAAAACGTTTTATTTATTAATGTTGCACTATATATATAGGCCCTGTCACACCAACTGCGTTCACACGGAGTCATTACGGCGTTGTTAAATTTTTTAAATCGCCGTGGAATCGCAGGGAAATTGCACAAATTTCTGTAAATTTTTCACAATATGAAGATGTTACGGCGTCCTTGCGGCGACGGACGCGATTCTACGGCGATCTAACGGCGTTCTACTGCGTTCCCACGGAGATCTCTCGGCGATTGACTGCGCTTCCGCGGAGTTTTCACGGCGCGTTAGGAGTTTTCACCTCGTGTTCACGGCGTTCTCACTGCGCTGGCTGCGTTCACAATACGTTCACAATGCGCTCTATACTGATTGATATATATATTTAGAAGGAATGTAACACATTTTTGTTTAAAGATTCAAGTTACACGATGAAAAGACTTCTAATCATGCCAAGAAATATTAATAATCAAAAATGTTCTATATTTAAATAATTTAGTACTAAATTATTAATAGTTTTATGAATAAACTCCTTTTTTTCAATTTCATCGGTTGAGTTGTGTTGATAGATTTTCTTTATTTTATTTTTAATGTAAAAAAAAATTAAACACACCGAAAAGTTTTCTACAAATTTTAATTGAAACAACATGAACAACAGAACAAGATCTTGTGTAATATTCTCTTCCATTTTTTCACATAAATGCTCCTAGTGCAATAAATACGTTTAAAATATTAATCAAATTTCCCATTGCTCTCGTTTTGTGAACAACGCCGTGTTATGATCGCCAACGGACGCTGTATAGCGCAATGATAGTGACAACTCCGTGCTGTCGCCGTGTAATCGCAGCCGAAAAAATCACAAGACGATAAATCTCATTAGAAGCGCCGTAAAAACGCGATAGAAACGTAGTGACATCTCCAAGGACTCCGCGACATCTCCGTGAGGTCTCCGTGGAAGCGCAGTCTACTATCACAGCGTTCATGCCGCGATCATGTTCGACTTCACGGCGTTTATACGGAGCTCCCACTACGTTGTTGGAGATCTCACCGCGCTGCTACGGCGATCATACTACGTTTCTACTGCGTTCTTATCAGACCGCGATCACACGGCGCGTACTTTGTGCATGCTCAAAGTGATCCCGTCCCCTGGCGTTCTTGGAGTTTCAGTGGAGCTCACGGTTTACATCAACGGCGTTTTGTATTTTTTGAGGACGCCGTGCAGTCGCCGTGAGGACGCAGCCCCGGTGTGACAGGGGTTTAACATTGTGGAATGTACTCTACTGGCGAACAAATTCCATAAACACCCTAGTTAAGCCAGGTTTACACAACATTCTTTGAAGGTGTTTTCTTGCCCCTGGATCGAAATATCTCGATCGAGGGTATATTGTTTTGTCCTGTCTGTATGTCTGTTTGTCTTGCGGCAACTATTACCTAGCCCATATCTATTGCACTATCAAGGGTAAGGCTTTCATATTTGATATGGATGTTCCTTTTGACGTGACCTTTCTATTGGTAAAGAAATTTTAGATCATGGGACCTCACCTGTAATCTTTTACCTATATTTGAAAAACTTTAACACTGGCAATAGCTATTGCACTGTAGTCTACGCCCCACTCCAGAATTGTATTACCATCGGGGGCATAGTGTTTCACAAACACATCTTGTTGGATTTTTTTATTTGACATAAGTTTATAACTCACTACGTCAATTGGAAACATTAATCAATGTTGTTTCTTGTACATTTTACGTCAGTCCGATAAGAAGTCAGATAAATTGCAATGAATCTGATTATATCGTGCAGATCAAGGGTTATGTGTACTAACGTCCTCTGAATTTTAGCAATGCTATTGTCCACCTGAACCCTTTGACATTATATGTTACAATATAATGTGCGGAATATATTGAAACAGATAAGAGTCAACCCGCATTTATTTACAAACAAAACAAAAAACATGGTATTTATGATTCAACAAGAACTCTTTTTTTGACACCCACTTTTTCTGAATCTGCAAAAGTAAACAGCAAAAGATCAGACACTTTTATCATAAACCTATACAAATCTTTTTTTAAATGTCAAAATTTCTCACGATCTCATATATTGAAATTAAAGAAAAAAATGTTGCTACTATATTTGTTTTGGATGTATGAACATCGATAACATACTTGACTGTGCCTTTTGTCGGCTTTTAGGCATTATAAACTGAAGAGGGACATTCTCCGTCGGACACAACTTCAACTTTGCTGAAAAAAAAAATGTTGCATATAATAGCCATAATGCACTTGTATTTTTTTCTTGAAAAATCGGAGACCTTTTTTAATCAATCGTAACAATTTCAATATGTATGGCATAAATTCGAGAAAGGGCAATATAAAACATGAAGCCTCTTTTGAGACTCTAGTTCTTTTAATTTTAATTAATAAAGACAGATCAGTAGGACTTATATCAAACATATATGAAAAAAGATTTCCGTGTTAAGTCTTTTTTGTTGCAATGCATTTTAAAAAAATATGATTACAAATGAATAGAATGAAAGACAAAAAGACAGTCGGACGTACATCGTACTTTCTCATAGCTCTTCTAGATCTGGTCTCTGACCAGTGGCGCTATAAACATGGGCCGGTACAAAATAATATTTTGTACAGATACAGATTATCATGGGGAATACTGATTTAATAGAAGAAATCAGCTTTGGGGAAGTTAGACGTGAAATTCGGATGAAAATTGGTGTGTTAATGAGGGAACATGACATATGCCCAGTAAAGCAAATTAACTAATTTTATTCATTAAAAGATGTTTACAGTTCTAAAATTTCAATAAATCATGATTATCTGATCGACTAGCTCGCTTTGTTAATGACTTAAGTTAACTCCTAATCTGATCAGCTTCGATTCTTTGCCATTAATTTTGTTATTTGTGTATGAAAAACACAAAGCTTCGGGAAATACATTAAAACTCTGCATTTTTCTTTCTAGTAATAATTTAGGAAGCAATAAGGATCGAAGAACATCCTTCAAATGCTATCATGTTGACTGCATTGCCAAGTGAAAAAAGGCTAAATTTGCAAATACTGAAGGATGCAAAGTTGCATTATGTGTAATAACGCTGGCTTGCAATATTACCATATTTTATTTGCCAAATAAATTGAAATAAACTTTGATAGAGGAAGTCTTAATTTTCATATCAAATGTAGCCTACAGTGATTTCAGTATATATGAATTTTTGAAGAAAATCTACTTTTTTTTTTACTTAAAAGAAATCATTAATATTTTAAAAGATTATAATAGACTTTTTCTCAGAGAGTATATTTATGTGAGTATTTTTGTAATCATTCATTGTTAGGAAAAAAAACTGTTATTTCGGAGATATCGAACAGTATTCAGTCAAGATCATAAGTCCATTGACCTGTAATATACACAAAGTTCTCCCGAGAAATATGGAGAAAACGAACAATTATCATAGTCAAAAGTCCACTGAAGCATGACACATCAGGATCACAGCAAAAACGGACCTCTAAAACGTCAGAAATAAGATCAGGTGTCATGAAGGAGTAAGCACCTCCTGAAAACCGGTCAAACCCGCCAGGTGCTCTTTGTCATGATTAGACAAACGGAAAAATTATAGTCGACCATTCATGAGACGGCAGCATTATAAGATTAATCATGGCGAGAAACAAAAACAAAATACAGCTATATAATACCATTTGCTTTTTTGGGAAATATATTGCATTAACAACTGAAGTATAAGAGGCTCTATTGATCACTTACAAACAGTCTGCAACACATTGTGTTCCATAGGTCTTGCCGTCTCTACCACACACCGGTTTGTACTGATAAGGACAATCACAGGAGTCTGGACACGCTCCTTTAGATTCTATGTTAACGCCACTGTAAAGAAAGAAAAACTACAATTCAAAAACTTAATTTTTTTCTATCTGTATGCCAAAAAGAAGGTTTTTGAGATTTTTTTGCAGAATATTATTTTGTTTTCCATAGTGTCATTGCAACATTATATGCTATAATTAAAACAATCTTATGCCAAAAACAATTTTTTAAAGTTTAAATAGTATGCAAAGAATATTTATAATACTCAGTATGTACTTACGCGCACTTGGCATTGCAGAGGTTGTCATACGTCTCCCCGTCTGAGCCACACACCGGATCATAGGTGTGTGGACATGTGCAGGTCTTTCTACAAACTCCTGTGTACTTCTTTTGTACCTTTCTGAATCAGAAAATTTTCTTAGAACAATAAATATAATTACAACTTTAGTTTTTCACAAATGTCATATTTATGCAGAACTAAACAATGCATGCTTATAAAAGAGCTTACAGCATCAATATGTATGTACGTATTCAAACTACGCGCAGCATAGAGAATATCAAAGAATTATATCTTATGGCACAAATTGATTTAGACTTCTTTTGGAAAGGCTCGTACGGTGATTGTTCAAACGTTTGTCAAGTGTTAAGTATGGCAAATTTTATTTGGAAAGGTTCACGCATGAAGCATTAATGTTGCTCTGTCTTTCTAAACGAACAAAATGGCAGACTTTTGCTAGCTTTTCCTCAGATGACCTATTGATGGATGTAATATTTTGTACTTCATCTTATAAGGGTCTTGTAAGTGTATATCAAAATCCCATTTTAGAAAATTCACGGTGGCAGTTCCGGCATTAATAATTATTCTACAGACCTTTGCACAATGTTCATGTGGATGTGCTACACAGAATAACCGTAAAGCGGGTTATTTTAGCGGGGTGTTAATTTTGGCTTATTTTGGCGTTTTGATGGTAGCCCGCTAAAATTTCAATCGCTAAAACATTCTGTACTCTTCTTAGTGTTCTTAGCTGAAACCTGTGACCTCTAAAATAAATCATGCCAATATTATTGGCATACCTCTGAGGAGGCAAACGCCAAATTTTACACCCGCCAAGAAAAGCCGCTACTTGGTATACTCTTTGTTTTTAAATTACCTTCGAATGACACTTTTATAAGATATTAATTCAAATTTGAAGCATTTACAGGCTGATAAATTATTTATCTATGCCAAGACAGAATTATTAATCTATAACGACTTTAATGAACTTTAATGGCAGCAAGTGTTTTCAATCATTATTTTAATGAACGTTTGTTTAGCATGCTCCAGTATAGCTCATAATATAATCAAAATTTTCATTATGGAAGTAATACTAGTACTATTTTTAAAGTATAGTATATGATACAATTGCGAGTATAAGGATCTTATTTAAAATATATGCTGTTGCTGTTTTGGGAAAAAAAGATAGAATCAAACTGCAAAACCCAGCGGGCTCAGTCAAAATAAGAAAAATAAATTTATATAGTTGACTATAATTACTCAACAGGTTCGAATCCCATTTGCGGGGCGGGACAAGAAGACTGCCAATACGGATATGACGGTATAAACAGAGGTCCCTTGTCGGCATTGGTGTTGTATGTAAAAATAAATCCCTCATTGCTCAATAGCCATATTTCATTAGTACATATCTACAAATTCAGAGATCCACTGGCAAGACGTGGCGTCTCATTATGAATGAAAATCCTCGAAGGGACTTTTTTTAATGGTATTTTGCTTAACGTCCCTTTCGCAAATATATGGAGACGCCACCACTTGCCGGCGGAGAGCTGAGAATTACGTCCTATACTCGGCACTTACGGCCATTGAGCAGTGAGAGATTTTTTTTTTTTGGACAACACCTACTGCGGCACGGGACCTCGGTTTATACGGTCGCATCTGAAGGAATTGTCTCCTTGTCCCGCAGTGAAATTCAAACCCACGACGTAAGGATCAACTCCTTACCTCACGACTCTAGAGCAGACGATCAAATCACTGTGCCGCACGAGCGACTCCCGAAGGGACGTTTAACAAACCAAGAAATCATCAACAACAACAACAAAATAATGCCAGAACAGAAGCAAGTAAATTAATCATTTGTTAAATGACATTGTATAAAAACAAAATAAAAATGAATTACCGATTAAGTTGAACAAGTTTGCATGAATTATTATTATTGCTTGTTGAAGGAAGCAGTTCTTCTCTGCTAAAATCATGTGTTTTACATGCCTGAAGAGTTACCAAAGTCTGCGCATTGGATTCCATTTTCTTCGCCTTTTTTTGCATTTGGTGTGCTTTTACTAACCAAATGAAATTTTTAAAAAACGGATATGCCGTGTGTTGCAATAGCAACGATGGACATCCTGATAATTTTAACTTATGGAAATTCCTTAAGAAATTAATTTTTAAATATTAAATTAAAATTAAGTTAACGATATTTATATTTATGAAGCTATATAAAAGTTGTCCAAGGCATCTGTGACAGCATTCGAGGAAAAAATTACAGGTCAAACCATGCCGTAAATTTTGAATTTACTAGAAGTTTGGTAAATGCAAAATCTACAACATGATTTTAGCAATAAAAATGATATTCGTATTAAGATTTTTGCAGGAATAAATACTCTTGTAATATGTATTTACTTACGCACAGTCTGCTTCACACTGGTTTATATAGGTTTTATTATCAGAGCCACAGATAGGAGAATAGTAAGCCGAGCAGGTACACTGTGCTCGACATGGCCCTTGGTGTAAAACTTCAACTCCACTGAAATCATAAAAAGAAAAATAGACGTTTTGTCTAAAATTAGAGTACGCGACGTCAGGCAACAGTTTTGATAAAATTCATTGGTTCATTCAGAAAAGGCTCGATGGAAAATTTCGTTAGTGATTGTATAAATAAGATTGTAAAAAATGACTTACTATTCGCATTCAGCACTACATCTGCTGGAATATGTTTTCCCGTCTTTTGCACAAATTGGGGCATATGTTGCGATACAGCGGCATATTTTAACCTGACATTTCCCTGCGTGTGATACTGATACACCTCTGTAATAGGATATAACGTTTGTTTATAAAGGACAACAAAAGACAATTGTTTAAAATTAAACGCACATTTCTCTAACGATACTAAAGCACAGAATGCTTTACTATTAAGTAATTATAGTTACAAAGAAGATGCAATGACGGACATTTCGATTTTTCAGTCATTAGTTAAGTCTTCAGCTGGCAAGTATCGAAAAACCTACAGGCTGTATACTTTGGATGGATTAATTTTTGTAACATTTTGAATGAGATGGTTGCTTTCATCTTTGACATATCTAACAATATTGTACTTATCTCATTGCAAGGGTATATGTAGAATGTGTGACAAATTTAATTTTTTCAAAGAAATAACGTTTATTCTTTATCTATTACTTTAAAAACTATATTATTTCTAATACATATCTTATAATTTTTATTCAAATATAGTAATCATCGATCAGTTGTATGGTTAATATAAGAAATCTGACGAGAAATTAAAAAGGTATGCCCTCACACTTACACACATTTCGCTTGACATTCATTATCATAGTTCTTCCCGTTCTTTCCACAGACGGGTTCGTAGGTCTCCGCACAATAGCAGCGTCTGGAAACTTGTTGCCATGTACCTTGCGAACATGGGCCGTCGTGAATCTTGTACACAAATCTGTAAAATAAATATTTCTTCATTTAACAATATAACAACATCTTTAAAGAACCTTCTTTAAAATAATTTACTAGACATATTTACACTTTGATAAACGTGTTGTTGTGTTCATTTGATATCATTAGTCGTGAAAGTATAAAATTTTATATAATCATTAAATAGGAAGACCAGCTTCATACCGTAATTCAAACAACGGTCATGTCCGTAATGACCGAGCACAAGATAGACAGAAAAATCCGTACACTAACAAATTGTCAGAAATTTAAATAATGATTTCTGTGCAATTTAAGGACAAAAAATCACACCCTATAAAACACATTTCACATATTATATATATCAAGTCATTAATGCATACAAATTGTTTGAAAAGAAATCCATGCTAGTGCAGGTACTGATATAAAGTTTTTCATAATGTATGAATATAGATCATAAACTACAAAAGTACGTTCTATCAGTATTTCTTAATATATTATGCTGATTTGATATAAGAAATATGAAAAAAAAAAGTTTGTCTTCAAAGAAAGTGTGCTATACTAGTATTGAATAATGCTTGAAACGTTGTAATTTGGTGTATTTTGGAATTAACTATTTGTTTGAGAATGAATTTTTAATTTCTGAGAAATTCATGAAATGCGCAGCCGTGAAACGTCGTAGTTCATGTCATCATGAATATCTCAAAAATTCAATTCTTTTCTTCTTTTTACTTTATTTCTCAGAAGATTTGTGTTTATATTTTTGTCATTCAACCATCTTTTTTGAAAAAAAATGCACTTTTTTTTACTTTAGGTACATCACAGTGGAAATTTTCTTAATTCATCTCACGGTAGTTAATAGCAAATTTGCAAATAAACTTACAGAATATTTTTGGAAATGTAAGTATTTTTGTTTCGTCACTGAACATGCATAAAAGCTAGATAACAGGGGAAAAAAATAAATTGTCGTGTTTTAACTAAATTAATTAAAATACCCACAGCAGTAGAATCGTTTAATGGGAAAATTTGAAATTAGGTTTGAAGAAAAAATTTACCCATACATTTATTTAAATGTGTTAAGTATCGAGATTCTTCCTATGAAAACTGTAAAACAGAGTGAAATTGGATTCAAATTGTGTAAAACAAGGTCAGTAATTTTTGTTGGTTCTCTGTAAATTTCTATCTCAGGACAGGGCCGGTGCCCCTGAAAAGTTCCTGTCTTACAATTTTCTTACATCAACACAAATTAAAGCTACAAAAATGATGTTTGTATACCATTACTTTCAAAATTTGAAAGTTTTTCATTATTAATTATTGATTCAAAAGGTAAATATGGAAATTTCAGAAGAATAAATGATAGAAAATATCTGAGTAAAATATAAATTTCAAATGACCGTGGTGTTTTCAGAAATATTCTTCTCTTTGATGATTCTGAATACATCCTTTCTCTGTGTACATTAGTACGTAATTCAACCTTATATTTCCATTTGCTGTGTTTTTCTACTTAGTCAGAAATTGATTTGAATACCATTTTCATGTATACCTAGACGTATGGAGAAACAGGCGCTATGGTGACGTCACGATGAGGTCACAGGGACGTAAACATTGTACATGTATAAGGAAAAAAACTCAAACATGGAGTATATTTTTGGTGCTTTGAAACATTTAAAAAGTTAAATACGTACATGTATAAGGAATATTTTAAGTTTAGTGTGAATCATTTTTGTGTAGATCATACATACATGTACTTGCATGAAGGCATATTTTTTATGAAGTGCTCTTTATTAAAAATGCTTACATGACAAGTCTGTATAATTTACACACCAATATTTCACACAAATTTTAAAATCAGTCCTTAATAAGAAAACGTTACGCTTACAATACTGAATTTAAGACTTGGACAATAGAAACAAAAAAAAAACTTATTGAATGTGAATTAAAATTCTTGCATAACTGTTTCTTTTTTCTTTTCGATTTTATAGCTTATAATTTATTTGTACATGTACTAATGATGCTGTAAATATTTTTTGCTCAAAAAACCGGAAAAACCAAACAAGGGAAACATTTTCATCTATTTCTGACATCAGAATTGTCTATCAACTACTGCGATATAATTCCAAAAGCTTCACAAAGCTTACGTTATTTGTATGCTAAAAGGACACAATAATTACCACACAGTTTGATTTAGAGAGGTGCTAAGTTTAACAGCGGATTGATTGATCGGTGTTCCTTTCAACGCTTGAAAGCCAACCAATGTCACGATTATTTGTAACATGAATTAAAATACCAAACGAAATTTGAAGAAAAAAATATATTAATAGGAATGTGGTAATTCTAATTTTTAAAATTAAATGTGCTAAATTACAATGAAACAGTGCATTTGGTTACTGAAATAGTTTGTGCACTGAAAATTGTGAATAATATTTTATTAAAAAGGTGTCATGAATTTTTAACTAGGAGTTTTTACTAGAATGGATGCAGATTGAAATAAGCAAATTAAGATGGATTAAAGATGAATGGAAAATAGAAATGCATGTCAGGATAAATCTAAATATATTAACAATGGTATTCTTTCTTTGTGCAAATTGTATATAAACTATTGATTGACTGTATACTAAAGAGGGAACATTTTAGCATTGAATACAATGTCTTTTTTGCCAATAAAATTCAAGACAAAATTTAAAAAATATATATATTATTAAAGAGTCATGATATCTTCAAGGAGAAATAAGAATTACATTATTTGAATTGTAAAAATGATATCAAATCACAATAATTAAGTACCGGTATTACTGGTATATCATATATAAATGAAATAAATTCAAATAGTGCACATATCAATGAAATTCAAAACAAAATTTTAAGAAATATTATTAAAGAGTTATGAAATCTTCAAGGAGAAATAAAATTTTAAATCATTACACGATTTAAATTGTAAAAATGAATTCAAATGACAATAATTAAATTTTACCGGTATATCATATATAAATGAAATAATGCACATACGGTTTACAGCTTAATTCACACGTATTTTTGTACGTGTTGCCGTCATTTCCACACACTGGTTCGGAGGTACCGGGACATCTACAGAGAGTGCTAGGGGGTGGCGGAGGGGGTGGGGGTTGGGTCCTTCGAAAAAATCTCGCGGAAACAGTAGCACAAACAACAGTGTAAACTAATACTTTCAAATATGTGAGCTGCATGACTGAAAAATAAAACCAAAATGACATGAAATTTTCAAAAAGGTCGGGAGAACATTGCCCCCCGCACATCAGTTCAGCATATGTTACATATTGACAGATTTAGAACTTAAGGCTATCATTCCCTTGGATGTTTTGCGACGTTTTCTTGAATTTTTATGTACTTGTTGACAATAAATTGAGATGTAATAATTATTAATGACATTATTATGCGAACAATATTGTTTGAAGACCAGATGTTCAAAAAATACCTTAATTTGTTCACAATTAAGTTAATTAAGTTATATAAAACAAAAGATTGATAAATTCTATTTCAACTCGGAAATGTAAGACAAGACTTTCAGAAGTGTTAACGAAAAATATATCTTAAAAATTATAAAAATTCCCATTCACTACATAATTGTACATTTTAAGTTTTATTACATATTCTTTGGGAATAAATCATGTCTAAAGCCTTGTAAGTGAAAAGGAAAATTAATATATATTTTCCAGTTATTATCGATTATTATATTTAAATTCATATCGAGAAAGTTATTCACAAAAATTAGAAAGTAGCAGATTTTTTTTTTATAAATCTTTCATGTAGTCAGGTTAATATGTATATAGTATATGTATATAGTGCATAAATCAAATAATAGTTTTAAAATTTTTATTCAATAATGATAATAAATTGATTTTTAGCATACTTACTTTATTATTCGCTCATTTAGAACAGAAAATGATAATTGTAATTTAATTAATAGAATATGCCCAAAAATTATATTTATAAAATAAAATGAATATAAATAATACATTTTTGCATGTAAAATGTAAATCAAAAATATCTAACTTACCTTAAATAAATAACACAAAATGCAAATATAAACGATACTGATTCAAACACTTAAAATATTATAATTGGAAAAACATCGACACTTCTATATATTGAGCTTTTAAAATGATTGATGGTGTATTGCTTTCCTCCGCTCGTCGGACGTTTCACTGATTTATTTAACACGTATGGTGCTACATTAGGGAAATAATCACCTTCAGCAAAATACACTTAACAAAATTTCTAAGTGTTCACTTTAATAAATGTATTTATTCAAAAGCTACTTTATAGAATGGTATGATATTTTCAAATTATTACAACAAATGAGTTTTCTCAACAATTCTTGAAAGAAAATCAAATATCACCGATGAAAACCAATGTTCCGTGACGAAGCTTAAAAACAATAAATCTGTGCTTTGCGGCATGTGTTTTATCTAGTTAGTATCTTTTTGTGATCATTATCAAATTTTAAAAACTGGTTTCAATAAAAAACACAAAACATTGGCAAAATGGCCTTTGAAATAGAAGGGAGAGCCGTAGGAATGTTAATATTTGGATCATCCTTGCGCTACGTTTTACTCACTTTTATTTAAGTGCTTAATTGTACTTGATTTTATTTTTTAGAAATTAACAACCAGTATCAAAACCCGTTTAAGCACATTTTCTATAGGTTGTGCTTCATTTTTCGTCACAAATTTATCACAATTTGAAAGTTTTTTAAAAAAAAAATTAACGAAACCGGAAGTGACCTTGATCTTCGTCTTGGGCCAAAATTTCGCGTCACACCAGGTTGAAAGAGTGTTAAATTGTCCTGAAAGGATCTTAGAAACATGAAAACAAACCATTTCAATCGTACGAAAATGATAAGAAATGGGTGCTCGTGACAGTCTAATATGAGCTCAAGCTGTCTGAATTATCCTTAAAGCCATGCACTTACGAACTAAACACCCTAGGATATTGACCAAGAGGCCGCTGTGTGATGATACACTGTTAAATTTCCGAATTATAACTCATTCTTCAATACTGGTGAATTTTTAAAATATATTTCTTTTCTCCTTTATTTTCCAATAAATAAAGTGGAAGCAGATAGATTGATATTGGTATGACTGGATACTTGTGTAAGGATATAGTATAAATAGTTTTATGGATATGAGTTGAGGAATAAAAAAATATTGATCATTGTTGTATTGCATTTACGGGATTTCAATTGCAGAAAATGTGACATAATTTTCGAATAGGCATAAAGATGTTGTTTTATTTAAAAATAAAATCAATTGGCATGATATATGTGTACATTATCTTAGCATATAAATGAAATAATATATTTATTTTGTCAAACATGCTAAAATTATCCTAATAATTTTTTTCTGAACTTACAAATTTGTGGTTTATGTTCGTAACGCATGGTGTCCATATGCATTGAACTTTTTAACACCTCTCTACAAGCATTAAATAATTTGTCAAGTTCAATTTCTGTGTTTAATTAATGAGTATGTGTGATAAATTATTTTTAACAATATGCTTCATGACCATAACTCAGTTCTTTTTGTAATTTTAAAATGATCTCTGATTGTAAAATGTTTGGTGTCTTGACCGTTACGAACATAAAAGCTTTCAGTATGATTGCTAAAATAACAGCCAATGAATCATAAGTTTGGCTCAGGAAGTCCGTAGCAGTGGTATAATTATAAATTGAAAACGAAAGTAGAAAGGTTGCGCAGCTGTCTGCAAAAAAACATGACGATGCTCATTGTGTCCACGTGGAAGACAGAAGTTACGTACATAATAGATTCGGTAAGTATTTTCATATTGTATCAATTTTAGTGAATTTTTAACACATAAATACAGTCATTGTATCTCTATACCATGTAGCCATTAATCAGAAACTGAAAGATGTCGCTTATGACCATACAAAATGCATAAATCTGTCCGAGTCGAGTACTTTTGGTTTAACATTTGACTTTTGATTCGCGTCTTTTGTTATGAACATGTGTTTTTGCATTATTTGTATAATGTATTAATGATAAAGTTATATTGTACTATATTTTATTCTATATTTGTTAGTTTTGTTCTGCTCTTATCAAAGGATGAATACTTTTTGAATATTTGTTTTAATATTGCCATATCATTTACGCAATTACGTTCATAACAGAGACACGAAAACTTGAAGTAGTGACATAATTTGTACTTTACAGACCCTGAGACGTGCTACTACCCCAAAAAAGCGTGTGACTTTCGTGCGCTTTCCGTTTCGTGGAAACCGTGTAGCGTTTCGTGTAAACCGTGCAGCGTTTCGTGTAAGCTTTCGTGTAAGCTCCAAAGCGTTTCGTGCAAACCGTGTAGCGAGCGTGCGAAAAGCGTGTGAGAAACGTGCGACTTTCGTGTAAGAACCGTGTAAGAAACGAGTGACTTTCGTGTAAGAATCGTGTAAGATTCATTCGGAAGTCATTTCATTTTAAATGTGGCTATCGATGGGTCAGGATGTCAAATTAGTATTTTATTATTGAATTAGTTATGCTTGCGATATTTTAGGATTAAAAAAAAAATGGAACAACAAAATGACATTACACGGTAATGTATAATATATATTTGTTTGTTTTCTTTTCCTTCTATAGAAAATGTGTTCAAATTAATCAACTATGTACAACAATTTTAAGGGCATTGAATTCAATATACTATCAACGCGATCATGGCTTCTTAAATATTTTTTCTCAAAGAAAGAAAGAAATACCGGTATTATTTTTTTTTAATTTAAAGCAAAAATATATCAGTACTCCGCTCTTCTCTTTACATTTAAAGTACATGAAAGAAAGTTTTGAAACGATGTGTCAATTATTGCATAAAACTTGTTGCTCATTATTGTCAAATAAATGGATTTTATAATTTTAATTCACATGCACTGACGAAATAAGGGGGTGGGGGGGGTTAAATTTAATTACTAGTACAGTCCTTAATTTTTTGTTGTAAATTTCAATCTTATGTTAGTTTAAATAAATGCTTAATTTTTTCTATTCTTTTTTAAATCCTTTGTTTAATATGTGCGCAGATACACCCCTTAAAAATGTATTGGAATCGTCTTTCCGCCTTTCTACTGTGATCATCATCAAGGTCATTTACAACAGCGAGCACGGGTTCCGAGTGCTAGCAAAAGAAAACCTGTTTTGCTATATGAACATGTTGAGTTCCCGGCTTAATGACACCTGAAAATAACGACTGGATTTTATTTATTTTTTTTAATAAAATGGTTCTATAAATATTTAATGGATACAACGTATAAATCAGCGGATTTCATCTTATATTTGTAAATCCGAATTTCTAGCCGTAAACAGTAAAATAGACAGAACTTATTAGGTAGTCTTTTCATGAATATCATGTTAGAAAAGCTGAAGAGTAAATAATGAAAAATTATATATTATTTGTTTTATAAATCACGTGCTTTTTATTTCATCTAAGATATTTCAATTTTCTTAAACATGTAATATACGTGAATGCCGGTGTAAAGATCGATCTACATTGTATGTACAGATGTACAATGTATAGTCAAATGCCGAGACTATTAATTAATGTACACATATATACATAATATTATGTTAAGTCGGGTTTTGAAATGAAGGATTTTACGGTATGATTTGTATATTGATGTTATTTGATAAGCTTCATGTAAAAAGAGAAATTGAATAAGAATAGATTAAGACATCACATTTACCCCTCCTCCTATAGATATTACTTACGTAAGAAAAATAAAATCTTTAAAAATGTATCAATAATCGTTAGTAGAGTATATAAGCAAATTTTATTACTAAATCAAAATCAAGAAAAATAATCTGCCTACGTAGATCAAACACAATATAATCAATATTACATGTATTTAAAATCAATGAGTTCATTTTCTTGTGTTTAATTTATTAAATTATACTCGTAAAATATTACATTGAAATGAATGACTAATATATAAAAATTATGTTTTATTAAAAAGTCATTCATGATATCGGCATTTCGTTTTTAAACAGTTGGATAAATAAATAAAAAAAATAAATACGAATTTATGACATTTATTAATTAATAACAACTGTCAGAGTATTAAATAATTCTATCGGTTTATACAATACTAGTGTACTGATATTTTATTTAAACAGCTGCTAAATGTGGCTTTCTGAAAGATTTCCATTTAACTAATGATAAAACCGTAATAATGCCGGAGATATTCTGAGTAGAAATTCCAAACCGAGACCAAAACGTGCGAGAATCGTGTACAAAGCGTGTGAGAAACGTGTACAAAGCGTTTCGTGCAGCCTTTCGTGTAAACCGTGCAGCCTTTCGTGCAAATCGTTTCGTGTAAACCGTGTAGCGTTTCGTGCAAACCGTGTAGCGTTTCGTGTAAACCGTGCAGCGTTTCATGCAAACCGTGTAGCGTTCGTGTACCGTTCGTGCAGCGAGCGTGTGGGGTAGTAGCACGTCTCAGGGTCTGTAATTGCCTTCTTTCTGGTTTTATCAAGGATATATGATAAATATAATTAAACAGCATATGTGTTGATTACATCATTGTTGTGTTTTGTTTTTTATATATATTTTTCTTTCAGATTTACAAGAAATGACTGAATTATGTTCATAACAATGACACAAAGATCCAAGACTCAAAATAGAAGACATAGGATATTAAAGCAATCCATCTGACAATTTACTTGTCTGCATTAATTCTCTTTGAAAGCTAGTCTATTATTAAGCTTTGAAATAAAATATTAAAAGTATTAAAGACAAGTGTTCGATTGTCTTGTTATTTTTTTTTTCGTTTTTAAAGCCTGATTCGGAGTTGGGTGTCCATGTTACTTACATAATTTCTCCTTTTTTGAAACTAGAAATAAAAATTGTGACTTTTTAAATAAATTCCATTTAATATAAAATTAAACATGATTTCCTCATACCTTTTTGATTACATTATTTTCATATTTTAACAACTTGTTAAATTCTAGTAACATGTTACTTGTTTAGTGCTTATGTAAGTAACGGTGTCCATTGGTAATCTTGGGTATATTTTCTAATTATAATGGAATAAGGCAGCAATAAGTCATGCAATAAAACATGCAAACTAGTGTTTATATACTTCAAAAAGGATTCACCAGAAAAGAATAGCTTATTGATTTAAAAAACAGTCACTGT